GCTCCTGCTGTTGGAGGCTACCATGTCTTTGACAGTCTGCTAGTGTGGTGATAGATTCTAAAAAGTGCCTGTTAATATGTTTGTGAACTTTAGCCAGTACATTATTATTTATTAAGTTCTTTAGCCTAGGGAGAACAATATAAAAATTATAAAACCTGTAGTCTTGTTGTACAGAGTTCAGAGATCCCTGTTATGGCTTTCAGCTTCAGGTAAAGACATCCTTAACCACATTGGCTGGGAACAGTCTGTGTCTTCACACTTCCATAAGAATTAGTACTTCCAGCATAAGAATGTGAAAAAACACAGCTTAAGATATGGTGTTTGTTACATAAACCTTTCCAAGACTACAGGAATATCATGGTGTTTGAATTTGTCTTGCTCTTTCATAGGCTGCTACTCCTGGGAATATAGTACAGGACATATACTTTGTTTAAAACTCAGTGTATTTTTGGCTTGCAATGAGTACTTTCTGCAGCAAGCAGCTTATTGTCAAAGTTAAAAAAAAATGTATGACAATGGTAGACTCTTAAAAGAACTAGTTCTTACTAAAGCTGACATAACAGCAAATAGCAAAAACTTGAATATTTCAATATACTTTCTAAAATATTAGCAAATGTGCCTTAGAAAAACTCTGTAGAGATTGGTGTAAAAACAGAAGTACTATGCTGATATGCTTTCAGCCATATGTTATGTTGTTTTATTTTTCAGCACATGTCATCAACAGTTTTCTTTTGATATGATCAAAGAACCATACACATTCACTCAAATAAGGTATAAAGAAATCTGTGCTTCTGTTTTTCTTTAGTTTTCAATCCTTCATTTTGTCTGTTCTCTAAACAAGAAACCAGGAGTGTGCTCATGGCTAAGATGTGTATCAATTAAAAGTGAAGTATGTGCTAGAGGAACACTAAAAACTTCAGGACCTTTCAGATATGCATATCAATGGTAGGAACCTGATTGCACTCCAGGGAGATACTCTCAGTTGTCACAAAAGGAAAAATACATATACAGATAACTGGATTAAATGGAAGCACCTATTTTAGGTTAGAAAACTGAGCTTGTAGTGGCATTCCTGTATACACTCTGTGCTTTCATTACTGGCTAGAGGAAAACATTATTATATATACTTGTTTTTCTGGCTGGGCTCCACAAGTGCATCAAGATGAAAGGAACTTTTATTTTTTAAAGGACTTACAGTAAAGGTGCAAAATGTCCTCATACTCACAAAACTAGAGATTAATGCAATAACATAAAGCCACCAGACATATTCTACCAACATTTTCCTGATCCCATGAAATCTCATAAGACAGTTTGTACTAAGATGGAAAATCTTTTAAGGATGCTGATTATATTCATCATAGCCAGTTTGCACTGAAACACTTATTCCTTCAGCTGAGGGAAAAGGAACAGCCTCATGGGGGGTAACTTCTATCCATATTTTACATGTTAAACACTAAAAAAATTTTACTTTGGCAAAAAAGTTATCTACTAGTGTAAAAATAATGATGATTTCTTGTAGCCTTTGTTTAAATACATTCAGATTCTTTTTGGAAGCCCCGTGAGCTTCTTCCTTCAGAGAAGGAATGTTGTGTTGAAACTTTTCTGCAACTAGAGAATCAAAGGCTGCTCTATAAAAAAATTGCCGACACTTTGGCAGATCCACAGCTCTGATTGTGTTCCCTAGTCTCCAGCATGTGGAGAAGGTTAAAGGAAGGGAGCACGAGCCTTGATATCTTGCTTTCATACCAACCCACACTTGTAACTGTACTTGGCGCAGTTCAGCACTCTTCCAAAACATTATTAGAGCTGAATTTGTACTATGTGCACTTACATTTCTAGTTGTGGTTGGCAATGTGACTACTTCTGTGCCTGCAGAGGAGATTTGTTTTGGCCATGTTGATGTTCACAACAGCCAATATGACAAAACTATCTAAAAATAAATAGTGTCAAATGCCTAAACTGTCCTAAATATAGCTTCTCTTAGTAATGTACAGCTAATTTACTGCAGAAAGTTTCAGGTTTTTGTGGAATGCGCATGTCAGCTTCTCTAGATCTGCCACTACAGACATACTGCTTAGTGTATCTGGGGCAACAATAAGCAGACAGAAAGTGTGTGTACATGTGTATACCATAGCCACAGCAAGCTGGGAGGTGCTGTGCAAGTTCTCAGCCAATTGATCATGGACATAAGCAGCTTACAAGGGAGCAAGATACAAGGTGTGCATGTCTAAAAACATAATGCACAAATGCATCATCATCATAGGGCATGAAACCCTTTAGTAGTAGGATCTGGGACCAACTATTTTGTAGATTTGGTGCTAGCACAGACTTATTAAAAGTGAAGTTGAGAGTTTCAAAACAAAACTTGAAACTGAGAATAAAATAAAAATACCAAGTACTGAAAGGTTGGTGTTAAAATTATAAGCACCTACAGTGTCATGCTGAAATCCTCTCTTCACCAATGTCATCAAGAGTTTTACTGAGGACCTGACAGAGTGAAGGACTTAATGCTATGTTTTTACAGGTGATATAAAACTATGTTAGTATTCACCTGCTCATTTCAGCTTGCCTACTAGAGCCCTGGAAACTTCTCAGTGATAACATTTTTTAAACTAGAAGAATTGTTTAAATACAAGTTTCTCATGTACTGAAGACCTGCATACCTACATGTCTTTACACATATGTGTCCAGCCACAGAAACAGTGATTCTCTTAAAAAAAAAAAAAAAAAGATTAAAAAAAAATCAGAATTAAAAAAAAAATAGAGGAAATGTACAGTACAGACAAACAAGAAATGGGATCTAACATATAACTTCTGAAAAGAACAGAGAAGTTAACCCAAGGATCTTGGCAATGTTCCAGTTCTAATAATTTGATTTTAGCTCTCTGAATTTCTTCTGTAATTTCATACAGATATAGAATTTTTCAATCCCTGTCCGAAGATGTTGTGTAGATTTGCTGTTCATTAATGAACAATGCCATTATCTACTCAGGCAAAGCTTAAGTCATACCTAAACTATCTGGATTTTATCAAATTAGCTATTAAGAAAATGCTCTAATTCCAGTTTAGTCATATGTGACTTCTCAGGTAGTTTCACTGGTAAAAAGGATCATGGTTCTCCAAAGTTCTACTTCTCTTCAGCTAAAATATCTAAGATTTTAATATTACAATACATAGTGTGGTATCTTTTTAATCAAATAAAATGTATGTTATTTAGATGACCACAAAAGGAATTGTGTTAATGTAGGCAAAAAATTTATGTCACTAACATTCAACAACACGTATCTACCAAAACAAAATGAGAACAGTTTTTCCTGAATTTTACTCTGTCACTGGGTACATTTTTTCTGATGTTCAGCCTTTACTGAGTACATAATGGACTTCTCTAGGGAGCAGAAAATGTGTTTTTTAAGTAAACATGAAATGCTTTGATAAATGAAAACATTCAAATGAGATTGCTATTGGGAGAAAAAAACCCTATTCTGTTAAAACTGTTGTTCTATTGTTTAGGATAATAATAAAACCCTTTATCCCAAAAGACTGAAACCAATTTTGATTCATTGTGGCCATACTGCACATTTCTAAAAAACTAAACTGTCATATTGAATGTAAATAATGTATTCCCATAAGCTAATAAGAAAAAACTGAGAAATTGTCTACAGCATCCTGAATGATCAATATTTTAATGTGTTAATAAAAAGAATCACCAGCTTTTCAGTAAAAAATCTTCCTGTATCACAGATGTTCACCCTTTACCCATTCAATAGGAAACAAAGCAACCTTTAGTACAAATAAACCACCCATCTTTTGAATATTGACCTGTGATAGTAAATTTCAGACCGTTGCTTGAAATGGTGTTAGTTGAAACTCCAGAGGATTGTTTTTACCCAAAATACTATACATCTTACCTTATATTGTTTTAAATTACACCTTGAAACCTTATGGCTATGCAGAGATTTGTTTTTATGGAGATGAACACCCAAATATCTATTTTAAAGTGAAAGCCTTATTTTTCAGCTTTAAAACCCAGACTATAAGCCCAGTACTTCAGAGCAATATGCACAATTCAGTAGTGCCTGTTATCTCCAACAGGCTCCTTGCAATTAATTTGAAACTGCTCCCTAAGTGGAAGATGCAGAATATATTTTCACATGCATTTCTTGTGTACTGTACTACAAGTGATAAAGCTGATGTTAAAAGTAGTGTTGAGCAGGAGAGAACATCAAAAATGTAACATGTAGTAGCCTCATTGCAGTTGCCTGAGGCATGGTGGTTTATGGCACTATAGATTTTAGCCTTGAGAAAAATAAAATGAACAAATATGAGCTGCAAAAAATATGAGTCATACACAATAGAATTTGAAAAGTTTAGACAACTAAATAGGAATTAGTCAGTTTCTAGATATGTGATGGCACCTCTAAATCTTGAGAGATCTCTTGCCCCAGTTTGACTTTCACAGAAGTCTATGTCCACCACTTTCAGCTAGATCATAAGTTCCTAAACCAGGAGATCTGACCTCAGCAAATTTGAAAACCTAAATCATAAACCTAAAAATCTGCTAGAAGTCCAGCAAAGCATTTAGGCATGAACTTAATTGTAATCTAGTGATTAGCTCCACTGAATTTATAGCACAACTCATGGACTCATAGTTAAGCTAATGCTTAAAGCATTTTATGGACCCAGTTTCAACTATCAGATCAGAGTTTCCCAGTGCTGCTTCTCAAACACTTTCAGATTTGTAATTATTGTGAGACTAGAACAAGTTTTGATGTCCAAAAAATCTCTGAATCTCTGTTAAAGCCAAGTGGCACACAAATTGCATGCCTTTGCAGGGGTTCCTGAATTTACATATGCTAACCTTGCAGCCTCTTTTTGAAATATAAGAAATAATTTACAGATTCCACAGCCTTGTACTAATGCCAATTACAGCAAGTATTTTCCTTAACCAAACTGAAAATAAATTGTCCGTAGCCATACAGTGAGTGATGAAGCTAGTATCAAACTTTTACTACCAATTTATTTGATCCTCACTTTGTTTTGCTATCCAATTCAAAGATTTAAACATTCTTGTTTGACAAATCAGACTTCGGGCTGAGGTTATTCCATTTAAGTTCATTAACCCCAGGTGGAGTAGCTCTAAAATTCTTTCTTGGGGGTGGGAAGGGGAGCAGCGGCTTTAGTTTCCAGAGCAGGAAGTAGGTAATGAACTTTTTCACTTCGAAACATAGTATCAATTAATAGTATTTCCAAAGTGAAAGAATGTACTACAGACAGCACGTGAGTACAAACTTCTCTCTGAGGGTCCAGAGACAATGCACATCTTATTGGAGGGGGGTGTGGATGGTCTTTGTTCAAGTGTGCTTCCAGATACTCTTACCAGAACTGCGCCTCCATCATCAGCTCTTCCTGCTTAAAATGCTTCTAGTCCTGCACTGTCATGAGAATCTGCTTTCTTCTCATGACACAAGTTGTGAGCTCTACCACTTTATTATATGAAATAGCATTCTAAACATTAGAATACAAAGCACTTGTATGAATCAATTAGCACTCCAGTACTTGACCTCTTAACTATACTGCAGTCTGTAATTTGATAGTTATCATTGGTAGACCATACAAAACTAGTACAATAGATGTGTTCACACTGCTCTCTAATTCAGAGTAATAATCTTTCTACAACTGTGTTCACTGTTGTTCTTTCAACTGTAGGGAAAAATAGAAATACATTAATGCAATTGAATGAATTCAGTATTTACCTCTCTCTTGTTATCTCATATTAAGAAATTACAGAGCATTTTTCATAATATCTGTTTGGTAAAGCCAATTGTAAAAGGCTGGTGTAGAAAATAAGTGCAGAACATTTAAACAAAAATATCCATGGAGTTTGGTAGGTACACAACTTTCATAAAGTTTTCTGCTGGGTTACTGTATTAGGAGTCTCAAAGCTTCCTCCAGTTAAGGTAATTTATTTTTTATATTAGCACATATGCCTTAACAGCATATAGTACATTTCCCACAGATCAGTTGATAGGAAACAACATAGAGAAAGGACCAAGGAATCTGTTACAGTCTACTTAGTGAAGCTATGACTACAATAGTCGCTGCTGAAGTCAGTGAAAGGACACCAGCACAACACAATCCAAGGAAAATGCAAGCTGATATAGCACAAAAGATTCTTTGTTTAAGAGCTGCAAAAATTTCTAGCAACTGTCTAAAGATGCACAGCATAAGAGAATGCAATTAAATAACAAAACAAATCCAATCTAAAAGACAATCATTATAAACTGGGACAGGGACACTTTGTTTTAAGTGCACACAATGACTTTTAAAGATCTTTCCTTAGGAGGCGAGTGGGATGATGACCAAGGAGCCAGGAAAGGGCTACAGCTTACTATCTAGGACCTACACTGTGTTCTCTCTGTGTTATCTTCGCAAATGGAGATCTGCACAGTTAATGTCAAGAAGGGATGAACTGACTAAAGGAGGAAGTCCTTTGGAGACAGGAGGATGGTCCTGTTTTGGCTTTGAAGAATGACAGAATGGCAGAGTCCAATCACTGGAACTTTGAAGGACACCATAACAAAGAAAAATTAACTTTTGCCTCACTAAGAGTTATTTGAATTGTAAAATGAACACTCTGCATATGTTAACAAGCTCAATTAATTACATGATAGGACATGTATGTTTATTTTACACAACTCCCTATCTGTATCTGCTACATATAGCACAGGAGGAGGGGAATAAGATTGCAATGTATATAAGAAGGGTAGGAATTTCACTTAGGAGGAAAATCAACAAGACTTGAGACAGAGGCCTGGCTAGTCTCCTCCCTTTTTTTTTTGAGGAGGGATGCCTTCTTGGTAAGTTTCTAATTATTATTACCCAGGTTAACACAATATTACTGTTATTGTTAGAGTTCTATCCCAGCTAATGCACTTGTCAACAGCAATTCCAAATCTGGATGTTGCTTCAATAAACTGCAATATTAATTTAGCTTTGTTCCCAGTGTTCTTGAATAATATGACCAGACCTATAGAGCCAGATTGGTTCATCACACTATTCATGAATCTGTGACTGCACAAGTTCTTATTGCACATGACTTGACCTATGGCATTGAATTGGTAAACCACATTATTTGTGAATCTGTGGTCATGGAACATCTTATGATGAATGTGACCACAGATATTAGTGCCAAATTAGTTCTAATCAGAAATTATGTCCAGTTCACACCCAACCCTTCTGAACTCTGAGGACCAGCTGGAAAGCAAGTTTTTATTTTCTGCCAAATTTCTTAATTTTGATGCAAAAAGGACTAATAAAGTATTATGGAGAAGTGACACATTTGATGGACGAGTGGGTTCTGAAAAAATCTATTATCAATTACTTTTTAGTGTTTGGTTCTAGTCTAGTAATTTTTATTTGAACAGGCCACATGTTAGTGTGGTTTTGATTGAAAGAAGTGACTGACTGTTCTTAAACAGGATACTACTAATTTGTTATCTTCAACTTTATCCCTCTTTCTCTGTTATGTCAAGTGCTGTTTTAAAATCTAAGGGGGAAAAAAAGTCATAAAAAAAAGTTTGTTTAGTAAATTACTGTTTTGTTTTCAGCAAGCTCACATCAAGTTCAACCCAATATATCTTGCAAGTTATTCAGAAAAACAAGCAATTTAATTGCCCCTCAAATTTAGCCCAAATCAGTTAGACCCTGTGGGTTTTATCCTTTCTCTCTTTTATACTAGCGTTCATCCAAAGCAGTGCTATATAACCTGATGGAGTCACTTGAGCTATAAGCAAGTAGGGAGTAAATCTCCATTCATTGTTTCCTTAACTAAACTTTACAGAGGTTCATGAGATTGCTCTATTGAAAGGATTTGTTATCAGGAACAAAATGTCATTGTTTACCTTTCAGACAGGTGTGGGTTAAAGGGCTGGCTGACACCTGGAGTACCTCAAGAGACAATCACTGCACACATACCCAGTTATACAAATAGGAGTCATTCAAATAACAACCATTTCCTCATTACTTTCTTTAGTTATGGTTTGTGAATGTCCATTTGTCAGTACCCAGTGAAGAGAACTGCATTGTTTGAGTTCAGTTTTCATGGAAATCAGACTGACCCCAACTATAAAGCATAATTAGAACAGGGTCTTTTTCCACTTACAGAACCCACTCTTCTCTATTCCAGAAGAGTGACAATGGCTCTCCATTCCACAGAAGATACTTTGGAGTCCCTGCTGGGCTTCTCTTTTGTATTAGGGGCAGGAAAGAAAAATGTGCCAAGGTCAGGAAAGACAAGGCTGTAACACAGGAGAGCATGAACTCTCAACTCTCCAAACCTATATGAGCAGGAGTAACAGAAAGGTAACCTCATATGTGGCTTTGACATAATCTGATGTCTTGGCAAGGTTTCTCTGCATCACTGCAAAATATGCATATAAGCCACAAAACCCTAATGTTGACCATTTTCTTGAAGAAATGACTCCATGGATACATTCAGGTCCAGGTCACAAATACTACCCTGTCCATACAGGGTCACTCTAGATTAATCTATTAAACACAGAAATAGAAGCAGAATGTGTTCAGTGATTCTCAAAATCCACATACTGTTCAAAAGTTTCAGTGCTGGAAATACACTAAAAATTCAAAACTGCTTGCACTGAGAGACAGGAAACTCACATTTCAGCTAACAGACTTACTTGAAGTACATCATCTCCACTACTTCAATTCTAAATAACAACTGGAGTGGAATTCTTCTTTATGTTCCTTAGGAAGCAAAAGTGTATTTAGAAAATAATTCTGGTTGTTCATCTGATAAAAACACACTGCCAAAGAATTAGAGTTTTCCATGGGTTTAGAAGAAAAAATATATTTACAGCAGCTATTTGCTGAATTCAGTCTCTGCTAAACACATTTATCTGTATCACATAGTAATTCCATAGCTACTGTAAGAGGTGTGCACACCTTTATTCTGAATGATGCTCCTATGGAAGGTCTGAAGGAAATAAAGCTGCTTCACAATACATAGATCTTAACTCCTGATTTCTGTGCTGGTGGAGTCTGAAGTAAAATGACATCAAACAATTCAATTTTAATATATAATTGAAAATAAAAAGAAATGGTGTCTTCACCTTTTCATAGCAACTAGGAAATTTGCAGTATAGGATGAGAAAAGGAAAAGCACAAAATCTTATTTACACTCTGAAAATAAGTTAAAAATATTTTTTGAGGTTTTGTGTTAGATAATATTTTTGTGCTGCTCATTTACTTGGTTTTGCCACAGTTAATGCTAATAGAGCCACTATAAACAACATTAAGCTACAGACATACTATACCCATTTAAAATTACTTTTCTTTCTTTTGGCCTCTTATCCTTCACTATGAAGTACCCTTTCCCCATCCTACTTAAAGAACATTGAACTTGTAGAATTAAATTCGTTTGTATAGTTCTCTAGAATGTCAAAACATAAATAATTTGAAAATGTTAAGTTCCAAACTGGTGGTTTCTCTTTCATCAAAATTATATGACAAAAATCCCCTTTTCAGCTTAGTTATTTACTTTTGAAAAGCTAAAGTTTTGAAAACTGTGGAAGAATATCTATTGCACCTAGGAACACCTGAGTTACAGACTTAAAGAATTGGATTTATTTAATAATTAGTATGTACCAGAGACTAAATAGTGACATTTGTTCATGGTATTGCAAGGGCTGGGAGAACTTTCTTTACCTTCAAGGCCACAGACTGCATCTTGAGTAGCAGGAAGGCATGCTAAGTCCATTCACCTCATCTTCTAATATGGTTAACAAGCTCCTAACATTGCAGTAAGCACTGGAACCTGGTTAGAGATATTGAAAAGCGAGGTAGAATGATAAGCCATGTGTTCTACTATAGTTATCACTCATGATAAGGAAATCCTTGTTCTTATCCTGGGGGTAAATTCAAGGGAGGCTGTGTTGTGTGAGTGGTTGACTTCTTCCTTGTTGTAACTCTGGATTTTAGCACTTAGACCAGCCCATATATTTTCTTATGAAACCATCTGATTAGTTTTCTGGAAGCTAAGAAAACTTTGTATCTGATACTGCAAATCAACTGGTGGATTTTAAGTTACTGAGACTAAGGCATTTCCTATGAATAAATGCGGTAAGAAACACTGTAATCTTATCAGGGGTATAATTTATGATGTAGTCATAATCTGACTATAAGGTATAACTGTAAGAAAATGCTTTGTTGGTCCAGTTTTGTCAGTTCAAGCATTATTGCATTAATTTAATGTTTATCACAACTAAGAGTATTACCACAAAATGTGGAATAAGCAGCCTTACAGCTATATGCATTTAGCAAACGTTTCAGGTTGACCTCAGGACTTAAGTTTCTTGACTAGGTAGCACTCACATATTGAACATTATAAAAAGGCTTAAACACAAGTTAATGATGGCATAAGACTTTATGAGACTCCTCTAAGAGAGTTTTCCTCCCAAAGAATTTGTTGTGGTTTGGCCATGGATAAAAATATTCATTACTACTAGTTCACAGATTTTAATACAGAAAGAAGCACTGACTAGGAAAAATTACTTTCATTTCAAATATCTGTCTGAGCTATTTTGCACCATGTAAGTTTTCAAATCCAGCTTCCAGCACAGAATAACTGAACTATTATTCTTCCTGCAGAAAAGAAAGTCAGTGTACTCTAGGTTTTCCTGCCACATCCCAAGTGCAGTTTTTGTAAGCAGAACTGTGTCATGGTAAGAATTCTGCATGTAGTGAAGCAAGTAGAAGTAAAGTAAGTTCATAACTCCAAACCACCAATGCCTATAAAAGAACCAAATAAAGTATGATTTTGGCAATGTAAAAGAAAAAAGTAGACTTCAATGAAAAATAATTTAGAACAATTCTTGTTTTGCAAGGGAGCTACATATAAATTGGCATATAAATCATTGCATTATACATAGTATCATAAATTCTTTTAATGTGCTTACCAGCAACAATATATTCCTAAGGTCACTAATGACTAATAGTAGTTAGGGAGTGTTTTAAAAACTTGCTGAGACAGGGTCACTTGATAGCACTTGTAAAATACCAGATCATAAACTGTGTGTCATGCTGTTACATACTTCTACCAGTAGAACCTGACTTAACACCATAATTAAAATTTTTAAGCAGAGAAAACTTAGTTTCAATTCAACTAATGACCCCATTGAGTTTATCTTTCTAAAAGCTAACACACTTGATACACAGTGAACTTAAACATGTGTAGAGATATAAGATCTACTCTGGGGCATTTGGAACTGATTATCAGTTTAACTGTGTGTGTGTGTGTGTGTGAGTATACAGCTGACAAAGTATGGTGACCTTGTAACTTGGTCCCAAAATAAACTGTAATAAGTTGCAGTGCTAGGCACAACTGTCTTGGTCTTCAGCTACAGTCATTCCAGACAGGGAATATGTAGGGTTACATATAAAACAGCCTCAGGATCGGGACCCTTTACTGCTGATAAAATCTGTACTAAGGCTATGATGTAGCTGAAAAAAAAAAAAAAAAAAAAGTATAAAAGAATCGCAGGAGTCTGAAAGTGGGATAGAAAACCTGAGCTGGAAAAGAGTGTTTTTTTCACTTATTCAATAAAGTACATATATAAGCACACACTGTTCTGTTCACTTCAGACTCTAAATTTTGAATGTAAACAAAAGCAGGATAGTTCTGAACTACTAGGACTGAAATAACCAGTTGCCTTTCTTGACAAAAGGATGGATGTGATGTTTTGCAACCTCTGGCTCCTCTAAGATATTTCATAAGGGTTTTTCTACACCAGTCAAAACTCAGCACACTTTCTGTGCATACAAAACTGCCTAAATATTTCTTGCAGTCAATTCACTTATGAAAAATCTTCAGCAATATGTGTAAAACATTTAAAATCTAGCTTCTCCACTTTCTAGGTAACAGTACAGGTTATATAACCTAGCACAAAAGATTCAAAAGATTTTTCATAAAAGAAGGAAAAAACAAGGAACTTTAGATACGAAACAGCCCATATTTAAAGATCCATCAAAGCTGTGTCAGAAGTGACAAAAGATAGGAAAACAGAATGACAATGACATTCTGATCTTAATTCACATAATTTAAAAGTGGCAAGTTATAGCACACTTTCTCTTAAACTTCTGAGTCTCACAAATCTTGACAGAATTCTGCAAAACTACAAAAATAGACAGTGAGTAGTTACATAAAGAGTTAAGTATATGGGTATATACGTCTTGCTAAAGCTTTGCAAACCAAGCTCTGCCTTACTTTTAGCTACACAAATTCACTTGAGGCCAGTGGGCAATTAAGGTCAAACACTGGTAAAGCTTCGATGAACTTTTCTGGTAAACTGACCAGTCCAAGAAGACCAGAGATTGCTTTGACCAAAAAGCTGTATGCTTTTGCCTTCTTCCCTTTATGTCTGAGGCTCTGTACCTAATGCGAAACTCATGCAGGGCAACAAGGAACAATGAATTCTGCTGTTACATTCAGAATTCAGTTTCCTCAGAGATACTGTTTATTTTATAACTTCTCCATGTTTTGGGTTTGATAGTGATATCCCCTGTGAACACCCATCAGGTTGCAAAGACGCTTGTAACTCTGCAGAGTGAATTGTTTTGTACTGTTCTCGCACAGCTTTCACACTCTTGGTGACAGCCACTTAAGCATTTCTAGATTTGGCAGCCATACTTCTGAATGTCAAGACTTGCTCCAGGTATATGGTGATTGTCATCTATTTCAGAGGAGCTAGAAGTGCTCCTCTATCTAGTGAGCAGTGCTCATGATTGATTTCTTTAAAGCACTTTTGGTGCTGGAAGATTTGGGCACATGAGAAGCAGCATTTTCATAATTAGGCAGGTGTTTTACCATAAAATCTTTGAACAGCATTGAGAGGTAAATAAATCCATAAATCCCTATGAAAATCTGATTATGACCTTGATAAATATGAAAATTACAGCAGAAACTACACATGCAAGTAGGCTGGAGGCTGAGTACTGCAATACGTAACATGTAGATATTTTTGGTGGTATAAAAACAAGGTGAGAGGGATGGACATATTTTGGCCCATTTTGCACTTGCTATTTTAGGCAAAATCTTTCTTCAAAAGGATTAAGAAGCTATTGTGACAAACTGCTCTAGATGTTAGTGATCATAGCACTCACCATAGGGGAGCAGATTTTGTTTACAAACTCCAGAAAAACAAGGAATTTCTACTGTGCGCCTCTTGCACACTTGCCATCAGCAGAAGATGGATGTCATTACCACCTTCAACATCACTACTACCACGACTGTTCCACTGGATCAGTCCTTGAAGGTCACTTAAACGAGGGAAAAACCTCAATGGTGAAACTTTGGTGGCATGCCCTATCAAGGCCTCGAGGTGCTCAGAAGCTGCAGGCCTTAGCCACAGAGCTGTAGGCAGTAGAGGATTTACAACCAAACCTGTAAGCATACATAATTTAGCTACCATCGTTAGGGTATTAATTGCTGAGTGTATGTTTTGAGACTATAGATTTGGTATACAGGCATCAAAAATGACATGACTAAACCACATCTATTTTGCATGCGGGTTTAAACTGCAGCTCATCAGGAATACAAACTGCTTGAAGGCAAATCTAAGCATGACAGACACAGAGAAGAAAAAGAACCAAACCCAATCTATGAGCCTATCCCTCATGTATGCGTCACTGCACAGCATTGTCTATAGCAGGGCTCTGCAGAAAAATTTTTCTGGGGTCTTTTTAGGACACAGCACTACTGTGTGCAAAATCGGGTTCTTTTCAGGGGAGTGTGTGTGGAATTAGGTGTTCATGTTCCAGCTCTCCTGTGACAACCCTGGAGAAAGCATGCAACACTCAGGCCTGGGGAAGGCACTTTCTAACGCCTGCTCCCCAGCCTGCAAAACGCAGCAGCTACGGCTGCTGCAGCTTTAGCTGCTTGAGACGAAGCCATAGTTCCTTGTCCTTTCCCCGGCACAGGTCGCTTCCAGGTGTGTTTACTGTATATTCCAAAGGTGCAGCGCGCAGAGGCCACAGCCGCCCTGTGAGGCCGGGACAAAACGCCCCGTCCAACACCAACGTGGCGTTACAATGGAGCACTTAACTACCAGGTGTTGAAGCGTTCCTCTTGCGAGTGGAGAACACCCCCCGTGCCTTGCCACCACTTTTTCGAGTAAAGGAGAAGCTCCTTCCGTAAAAAAAAGACACANGGTGACCGTGCGAGAGGGGGAGATTAAAAGACCGGCTGTTCCTTGCTTGCAGGCTCCTCACCAGCCAGCTCAGCCGTTTAAATTCACCATTTCAGAATCCTGCGATCGGATTAAGGAGGAGTTTCAGTTTTTGCAGGCTCAGTACCACAGGTAAAACTGCCCACTCCCCCCGAGCTCCGCGCGGTCTTTCCTCTCGTCCCTTTCAGTGCCGCGCCCGGAGGGGCTGCGGGGCGCGGGACCCCTGGCGGAACCGGGAGCGGGGCGGAACCACCCCGGCCGGGCGCTCCTCGCCGGCTCCTCCGCACCCCGCTCCGCTCCCGACCCCTGGGGATCAGGGGCTCCCGTGGGCCCCAAGCCCAGCGGTGCGAGCAGATTTTCTTGTTTTGCCCGCGTTCCCTTTTTGGTTGTTCATTTTTATTTATTTATTTATTTTTTTTATTTTCTGTTGTTTCTTTTGGTCTTTTTGTTTACTTTTGGGTGCGGAGGGGGGGAGGGCGGGTGTTGATAGAAAAATATGTGTCTGGTTGGGCTCGTCCTCTGCTTTTCTTCGAAATGCCGCTCAGGACAGGCATCTTGTCTTGGCTCGACCCCTCGCGCCTTTCATTGACATGTCAAGTGCTGATAACCTGGAAGTGAGGCGGCGAGCTATTTCATTATCCTTAGGTGGAACAGCGCTGTGTCCTCAAACTGACAAGTGACTTCTGGCAGGATTGTTTAGCGGGCTGCTGAAAACAAACACTGGAGGTGTTAGTAGTTACCACGGTATTCATTAAATTACGCGCAGTATTTTACTTGCAGTTCTTTCATCAGTAATAGCAAAGAACAAAAATTCAAATCCACAAGTTTTTCTTCTTGAAGCGGTAATGTGCATGTCTGTGGGTCGAGTAAAAGAAGTGTTTCTAAAACACTTAAATAAAATCTCTGAAACACAAATTACATTTTTTTTTTTTTGTTAGCAGCTTCTCAAGCTTAACTGTTAAAGATGCGTGCTTCTTTTGTGAACCAGTGTTGGTGTGTAGTATTGTGTCAGAAAAATAATTTTCTGTGTATACCACATAAATGTATGCAGTTCTTTTAGGATATGAGGATGTTGCATAGTATCCGTTGAAAATGGAAGAGTGTAAACCCCCATCCTAAACTCCCAAGCAAGAGCTGGAATACACATTTATATTTGGGTAGTGGAGAAATGTTTGAAAAGGGGAGCAGCCGGTGGTCAAGAGAATGTCACTTTAGTGTTCTGAAGTACCCATGCTTTTTCCTTTTTGTCTCTTGAACAGTTTAAAGCTAGAATGTGAAAAACTGGCCAGTGAGAAGACAGAGATGCAGCGACATTATGTCATGGTAAGCAAGCTGCATAACAAATTCAAAATGTCTATTAGCCTGGTATACTGAGACTGACATACATTCGGATTGCTGGAGGCGAACAGGAAGATTGTAGAAGCGCTGCTGTTGTTGAGGTTGCATCAGTGATTCCATTATATATCAGTAGTTTCTGGGGTCTTTTAACTTGTTTCCAGCAGTCAGTATCTGTGTGAAACTAGCTTTTTAACCTTTTAAGCAATTGAGGATGTTTCTTCTAAATGCTAGCAAATCACATGTCCGCCCTTTCAAGCTGTGTGCAACTTCTGTAGTGTACCTGGGGATGATGTTTTCACTTTTGCTGAGTTGTCCAAATGGTCATATCTCTGTAAAATGATTTGGGATAGTATTTTTTTCTTTGATGGGAGTAAGACAACATTGCACATAAGCGCATGCGAATCCAAAGCCTACTTCCTAGAAGAACTGTTGCTCTTCGGCAGCTGAATCATTGTTTCATTAAATTGAGATTGTCAGGGATCTCAGCTGTGAAAGGGATTTCCTCAGTTGTTGTGGTCTGTCTGGTTAAATAATGTGCATAGAAAGACATCTCTAAATAGGTAATTGTGTGATGGATCATGATAACTCTAGAGGAGCTCTTGCTATCTCTTCTCTTGTATATTTTTAAAGGATTAGCCGTTTTTCATATGCACATGACAAGTAATACTCTTGTATACACAAAAAGAGTAAATAACCTTGAAAAAATCTTAAGCAAGAGCACAAGCAAATTGTAAGGCTCACAGTTGTCATTTTAATGCCTGATATGCCTAAGTCTTGGAGATTGTTTGGTATCAACATTACACACTGAGCAGAGTTCCCTGCAGTACTCGGGCACAGCAGGATGTACCTAGGTTGGTGTGTCTGCTCTGGCCCTGAATTTCCATGCTCTTTCCCTTTTTTTTTCTTAATCCCTGCAATTTAATTATAGGATTTTTTTTTAATGTTCTTTTTTTTAATATTTAAAATATTGAATAATCGGTCTGTTAGACATTGCTGATCTGTATGTTTATATGCTTAAAGCACTTAGGGTGTTTTTTGGCATGTTTTGTGCGTGATAGTGAATAGAATCTTGATCACTTTCTGGTTCTAATCCTTGACTCTGCTTGTGATTATTTTTCATGATTTTTTTGTTGTCTGTTTTTGCCTTATTTTACAGCTATTCTTTGTAAACGTGACATGAAACAATGTAGATAAAGAAAAAAAAAATAGTTCATTCTGAAATGTACTTTTTGCAATTCCAGGAACTTCAAGGCAAATAAGTGTGTGTAAGTCTGTATGTCTTTGTACAGATTTTGTTTCAGTCAAAGTGAATTTCAAAATAGTTTTCACAATTGCAAGGTCTAATAGAGTAATTTTCTTTTTTCTTAGTATTACGAGATGTCCTATGGGCTGAATATAGAGATGCATAAACAGGTAGGTAGATAATTTGTTTTGCTGTAAGAATAGTCTGTATAATTTCTCCCATCAATCTTAAAACAGATGTGTATTCTGTATGACTTGCCTTAATTGCATGCTTGAGTGCATCAGATTTTTTTTTCTTCACCTGGCCCTGAATTTTCTGTCTCATGTTTGTTATACAGACTCTTTGTAGTTTACGGTCTTCTCTCCCAGTTATGCATTATTTGCTTGATTTTCAAAATGCAGTTTTTACACATGCAGGCACTCCTATACTTCATAGGGAGGGTGTCTGTGAGTATGGTTGGGTTTGTGGGTTGTATCTTCCTTTCTTTCTGGTCTCAAACCTTTGGGGTTTACTTTTTGGGATCATAGCTGCATCATGAATGTGTATGTATTAGGATAAGGAGCAGGTGTGGAAAAAAATGTGTTTTTTTGTTAGCCTGGGCTGATTTAAGCTGGGGCTACAAATGCAGTTGATGTTACAGCCATGGTGATGTTTCCCTCAGGCTGCTTACTCGGACATGTGTCCAGAACCAATGTGTTAGTGTCTCAGACACAAAGGAGTAAATGAGCTTTCTGTGAGGGTGTAAACATAGAATCATAAAATTGTTTGGGTTGGAGGGGATCTTAAATATTGTCTGGCTCCACCCCACGTGCCGTGGGCATGCAACCTTTCACTAGAGCAGGTTACTACTAAAAGCCTTATCCAGCCTGGCCTTGAGCATTGCCAGGAATGGGGCATCCTCAACCTCCGTGTTCCAGTGCTTCACCATCCTCACAGTAAAAAAATTACCATATTATCTAAACTAAACCTGCCATGTTTTCAGTTTAAGGCCATTTCCCTTTGTCCTATCACTACATGCTCTTGTCAAAGGCCCTTTACAGCTCTCTCGTAGGCCCCTTCTAGATACTGGAGGGTTGCTATCGGTTCTGTGCCTTGAAGTCTAGCACTTAGGCCAAGATTAGCAAGAGATTAGTCAGCTAGAGCATGCTAGTGTAAATTAGTTTCTTATTTGATAATGTGTGTTTTTTAACCTTCTCTAGGGGAGAATGAATTAAACATCTGACCTCTTTTCCAGTGAGGGAACTTTTTATGTAGTGGAGTTTAATACTGACGACTCATTTTAGCAAATGGTTGAGCAATTCACTAGCATTGCTGGGGAGTGTAAACCGCAGGAATAAAGAAATGATTGGGTGGGAGAAGAGAGATCGCCTGAAAATTGGTTTGTATGCACTTCTGTTCAAAGTTAGGGATTTGGAGCCTCTCTGGGTTTGAAAATAGGATTTCTTTATCTTGTTGACAGCAGACATAGAACTCAAAAGTTTTTTCATGTTATTTATTATATTGTGTATTCCATTAGCATCTCAGTACCACGGAACTTTTTAGAGCCGGTTTTGCTAGATGGCATACATACAGAGACACTGGGATTTCCTGCCTCAAAGCATTTTGCATCTGCAGCTCCAAATTTACGGAACCTTGTACATACAAGTTATTTTACAGACATAGTAGATATTTTGAATTCTCCTATGGGTCCTTCTCACAGGTACCACGATACTCAACAACCACATTTAACAAATGGCTGACAGGAAAAGGCAGTGATTGCATCAGATCAGATTGTACGCACATGCTGACTCTTTGGGCCTGATCCTTGTTGTGTGTGCTGGTGGAAAGATTGGTCACTGACTCTAAGAGATGTTGGGTCTGTTCTCAAATTAATATCGAGATTGTTTCAGGTCCCATTAGAGTAAAACAAAAATCAAAATAAAACCAAACAAAGCCTCAAGCAGTAAAGCTGTAGATGTGGAAACAATTCACAAAGACCAGAGTCTTTACAGGCCACCTACATAGCAAATTCTTTCAGGCGTTTGAAAGCAAGCATTGCAGTCAAACTTGTTTATATTTCTAGATACCCCGTTTTTACAGCAGTACTTTAGACTGAGACTGATTGCACAAAATTATTTTACAACAAAATCAGCTTCCAAGTGCAGTGTGTAAAGACATTGTATTAAGCAAGGGAAAAAAAACCCACAGCAAAAGACTTCTAATTTCTAAATGCTTTACTTGAGAAATTTTATACATTTATGGTGATGGAGTCATCAGTGATACTCTGCAGAAATTAAATACTTAGTGACAACTAAGTGTGGGGATTACAAAGGACTGGGTTTTAATTGAACACCTTTTTCCATCACCATTCAGTCTATTCAAGTTTTAAGTATTGTACTCTCATGCAAAACACTTAAATATTTTGTCAGACGATGAATCAAATTAGTTGCGGCTAGGAAACTTCTTCACTCTCATTCTTAAATCTGATATCAATTTCCTGTCTTTCGTATCTCCCTTTCTATTGACACAATGTTGTATTTTTCTTTCCTCGTCTTGCCTCAGCAAATGCAAAATATTACCATTTTCCATTATGATCACAGTATTGCAGTCCAGTTTGGTATTTGTATACATGGCATTGATTGCTTCATTCAATGTGTGCAAAGCTTTTTCAGTCTACCTTAAATTCCCTTT